ACATTTCTTTGTGTGTTGGGTTTTTATGTTGCATTGAGTTGAAAGATTCTTTTGCACTACTGTCCAAGGAAAATTAGTCCCTGGGCACAATCAAGTCCATCCAATCTAATAAATACATAAATCTACTGCTCTTCAAAGCAACCAGAAACAACCTTGAATACCTCTATTAATTAATTAATTAAAAATAAGTCCAGAGATCTTAAATTAAGAAGAAAATCCCTCCACTCCAGCAGCGTCAGCGTCTCACCTCTTGTCGTTTAATCTCCTTCGGGCTCAAAGGTTGTGTCGCTCCAAGGTGGACGTCGAACGTCTCACTCCAGAGTTTGCTGTCCCGGCGCTTTGAGGTTTGAGCTGATGCTGATGATACCCGTGTCTGAGTCATGGAAGAGCACGAGTTGGAGACCGTCGCTGGGAAAGTGCGTGACTTTAGTGTCGACGATGAGGGGGGAGGATGAGCGGCGGTTCTCTCCGTCTGAGTTTCATTACGAAAGCTGATGGAGCGCTGCAGAGATGATGGAACAAGTTTTAAATATAGAATTGTCTGTAGAAGAATATCAATATTTATGTCAGATATTTGACTTGTTTTTTTTATGTCTGATTATCAGTACCACCAAAATCACCAAAATTCAACTGAATAGACAAACACTGCTAGAGACATCTGAGCGGTGGTTCACCTGTAGCGTCTGACCAATCCTCTTCAGTGGTACTGTCTTGACCGGCGGCAGCAGGTTGGCGAGAGACGTCACCCTGGATACAAGTTTACTGCGCTTTGTGCTCGGCTCCTGAGGAGAAAAGAGTCAAAATGTGTTCAGATTATCACAGACCACTATAAAGGGTCCAAAAGTGGCTTCAGTTAACACAGTACATAATGTCCAGGCAATGTTTATTTTTTACTAATTGGGGTTATCTGTGGTGTGTGCTTCTCTGTTTCCATGTGGATTGTTGTTTTATTATATTGTATTATGCTCTTTAGAAGTTAGCTAAATGTGTGAGACAAATCACCCCATGAACAGAATAAATTGTATCACATCACATCCTATAGTATCGTATCCTATCCACAACCTTAGGCCACAGTACTAACGATGCATTGTTGTGTTAGTCCAAATTATCTGCAAAAACAGGATTTACTTCATCGTCACCTTTATAAACAAAAACCTCTTCAGTCTGCAGGTGGATCTAACATTTATAAACAAAAACCTCTTCAGTCTGCAGGTGGATCTAACATTTATAAACAAAAACCTCTTCAGTCTGCAGGTGGATCTAACATTTATAAACAAAAACCTCTTCAGTCTGCAGGTGGATCTAACAAAGGTCTGCGAAGATCAATTGCAAAAAAAGCTACAGAAATTCACATCGGGTTATCTTAAAACTACTCAACACCATTTGTGTAATGTCTTTAGTTTTACTCTAGTGCATTAAAAAACATCACAATAAAATGAATCAATGTTGTTGTAAACAAAAACTTATAAAGAACAACATGAGCTTCAAAGACACCGGTCTTAAGAAAGACAAATCAAGATAAGAGATTGTACATGTAGCAGTTTGCGGGAAAGCTGACATTGTGTTGGTAAGTAAAACAATAGTGTGACTCAAAGTCTTTCACTCTCTGCCAGACTGTCTTCACGCACACACACACACACACGCACGCACAAAAAAATACACATATCAGGCCTCCAAACTATTAGGGTCTGTTTCTGTGTCGTAATATGCCTGCCACCAGGCTGTTTGTCCTGGATACAGACTTTCAGTAAATCAATCCGTGTGTGTGTGTGTGTGTGTGTGTGTGTGTGTGTGTGACAGTCCCAGACTAAGCTGGCCAACTAGAACACAGGAACCGTCAGTGCTCACAGTCGGGAACCAGTCGACCACAAATAAATTGGCCTTCGGCAGACGGTTATTGTTTTTCACTCCTTGATCACTCAAGAATCACAGAAAATGTTCTATTCGAGCTTCAAGTTCACATCTAAACTGGACAACATATCCTGACTTTTAATCCTCTGAAGATGCAGTTGAGGTCTTATTATTATTATTTTAAGTACTTAAAATGCAAACACAGATTCATCCTAATTACTAAAGACACTCTTATCTCTTGTTACGCAGATGATACAGTTCTATTCATCAAAGATCTATCGGTTCTTTCAGAATATTTTTGGCTCAATGGAGATGATAAATAGTCAATGTATTTTCTTAAAATAGTATATGTTTCCATTGGACATGGGTTAATGGGTTTCTGTGTTTGATGGCACTTGATTTGATTGAATCTGGCAGAGATCAATTCAGTGCAGTTTGCAAACAGTAGACTGGTTCATCTAAGTAGAGCAGGTTTACTGACTGACAAACTCACTTGGCAAGAGTTTAAATAAATAAATAAATGTGAAAAAACTAGGACTGGGTAAATGGTAAGTGGACTTGAGCTTGTATAGTTCTTTTTTAGTCTTCAAAGCGCTTTGACACCGCGCTCTGGTGGATCTAATAATCAGTCAAGACATTGCAGATTTTTTTCCAAGTAGTCCAAGATAAAGTTTCCTCACTGGGATAAAGAAACTTTTATAATCCAATGATAGCCAGGCAAGCTGTAATTTCATATCCTCTCCAAAGGACCGTCCTACAAAATAACTGTGGTGGAAATAGAAAGGGGTAAACAGAGGGGAAGTGACACAATGTTCATTGCATTAATGCTTTTCACTTTAGAGCTGAATGCAGCAAACCAGTTTAACACATGCTAGTGAAACCTGCAGTACCTTCAACTTTGATTGACTCTAAGTAGAAGATGTAACTAGTTGAGATAACTGGGACAGATGTTAGTCTATCTTTCCCGAGAAAGGTTTTCTAGTTCTCAAAGGATTCCAACATGGTTCCAGAAAAGTATAGTAGTAGCGTGTTCTGGGGAAAAATCTGGGTCTCCTATACCAGTTAGGAGTGCCAAGAGAATCTCAAAAGGAAAGCCCTCAAGAGTTTCTTGATAAAATGGCCAACCATCTCATTGGGTTCCTTTGATGGAAGGGAGCAGCAGCTGTACTCCAACTTTTTATTCCCCTGGTGATGAACTACAAGTCAAAGCTGAACCTAAAAGTGTCAGACGAGATTTTCAATTTTAGGGTAGAACAGAAGGAAACCTGACTAGAAAGTTACTATTTCATTTCTGTAACTATGTGTCCTGACTTTGTGTTCATGTTGGTGGTTCATGAAAAGGGTTATTGAGGGCAAATCAATTCATTCCAACCCCCAAACCTGATCTGTCCCTTCAACACTATTTTCAGTTTTCCTAGAAACTGTGCCAAGTGGTGTCAGTAGAACTAAACATTTGACAAGTTGATGGAGGAAATCTGTCAATATATGTCACAATAACCTGTCATGCACCAAAGATTTCTGATCAATGCTTCCTGTCATCTTGTACTTTTTCCAATTTTGACAAAGTCTGATGTTACACCTTTCCCTAACCAATACAGATTAAATTGGCTGGGTTGTTTTTCCATCTTTAGAAATAACTGTCAATGAACATAACACAAAATCAAATCTTGAAACAAGACCTAGAGCACTATACACTTCTTGGTCCATAGGATATGTCATCCATCTTACCTCCACCTGTTTCCCCATAGTGTTGTTATTCTTGACCGACTCCAAAGAGCATCCAGCCTCAAACTTGTGAACCATGATGCAGTATGGGCTCTTCCCTACCACCATACTGCTTGACGGAAAGCCCCGAACAGGATCTTTACCTCTAGCACCAAGAGAGCGCCCAGAGATGAAGTTTTATGCAGAGAGAGTATCCAGGTATGAATGTTTTAAAGAGACTTGATGCTGATAAAAAGTCTGGGCACAGTAGAGTTTCTCGACTTTCCAAAGCAGCTTCAGAAAACAAGCTTTTAAGTATCAAAAAGTGTCCTGTACTGGTTAAGAGCCCAATGAGAACTGGTGCCAAAAAAGTGTCCCGTCTAGTTCTTGAAGGGTGACCAGCAATGACCACGAGTGACCACCAGTGGTACTCGTTTGGTACCAGAAATGTCCCTTTACAAATGTCTTGTTCTGTTTTTCTAAAAAACGGATTAGGTTGGATCCAGAAAGACGTGTGCTGAGCTTTCAGACAAAACACAATTCAGCTTGATCTTCAGGTCGCTTTCAAAGTCCAAATGAAAAAGTCCAGGGAAACGTTTGACCCCACGTGCGTTCAGACTGGTCAAAGCTTTCATCAAAATCTGTATTTCTGATGCTTTTATTCCAGGATTCTTCTTTAAATAGCTTTTAAATGTCCCTCGTTCTCAGTGATGATTGTTCGCTTGCCCTCGTTTGGACTTGTCTGAAAACACACAGCTTGCTAATGCTCTCTCTCTCTCTCTCTCTCTCTCTCTCTCTCTCTCTCTCTCTCTCTCTCTCTCTCTCTCTCTCTCTCTCTCTCGCTCTCTCTCGCTCTCTCTCTCTCTCTCTGACTCACTCACTCACGTTCCTTCCTTCCTTCCTTCCTGCTCTTCTGTACCATTTTCTGTTTTCAATTTTGTCCGCCTCTTTTGCCCAATGAGTCAAAAAAAAGGTTTTCTGAGTCTCTATTTAAAGACTAGGACATTGAACATTTTCTATTGTTAACAATTACAAAGAGAACACCCACATTTACAACAAGTCTACCTATTATCAAGTATTACCTCTCTCTCCATAGCTTGATAAATTTAATCCTCAGAGATATTATTGTTTGAAAACTATTCAATAATGAATCACTGTTGTTTATTTAGACTCATTCACACATATAATGCCCGACTGCTGGCACTACAGCACAAAATGTGTATTGATCCACCTCTGAAAATAGTCTCAAAAACAAACATTTTCCACTGGCTGTTATGTTTGTTAAAAACTACAATAACCATCTTTTTTTCACAAGTCTTTTTTGGAAATAAAATGTTATACTTGTGAGTCTTTTTTAAAGGTTTTATAGGTTCAGTGCACAGAGTCCCAGAAAGAAGCGGGAAATCAAATATTGATATTAAGGTGTTTGTTTACAGTAAGGAAGAAAAGGACAGATGTCGTAAAGTAGACATGAAAGGCAGGATCAGATTACCTTAAAGTACAAGTATGACAGAATGTACTGTAAGTTTTAACCACCTACGTACAAACACACGGTCATGGTGCAATGAGACCAATGCTGGTCGAAGTTAATCTGAACTGTAATTACTACAGAGAGAAAAAAGCCTGCAGGCAGCGACAGATCTGCCCTATTTCTACAGTACAGTTTCAATCAATGAGTGTGTGTGTGTGTGTGTGTGTGTGTGTGTGTGTGTGTGTGTGTGTCCCATGTGTGCCCAAAAACAATACCCAATCATCATTGTCATCATCAAACAAAACCATCATCACCACTATCCTCATCAATAATATCATTAAGGTCGTAGGTGTTCATGAAAAAGTTGGGTCTTTAGCTTTTTCTTAAAGGTGCAAAGGGACTCTGCAGATCCTGTCTGTATGGGCCTGGAGTTTTATTTATTTATTTATTTATTTATTTTTTAGCAAAATTCCAAAAGCAACAAAAGAAAATGTTTTGCTTTTGATTTAGCTGTTGTGACGACCCCTCCACATCTATTGGTGTTCCCTTGCTGCTTGTTTGTTTTTATGTTGCAGGTTCCGGTCAAGGCGGGGTCGTAATCAGGGGATGAGCTACACCTTGGCCCGGTGTTGTCCCCATCCATATAATCCTCTTCTCAGGACAGATGTTTGCTCTCATCTTGTTCTTATACCCCGTAAGAACATCGCAACATGGCTGTCTGATTTTGTTTCACAATTTATTTAATTTTATTGTAAA